TATATATATATTTATGAAAATTGTATATCATATAAGATATTTATACATTTTGTAAATATGTATATTTACCTTTATATTTTATTTGATACGTTTGTTTGCAAACTTATACATATATTATAATTACAAAATCATTTTGATGAGCCAAGCTATGAGGAAAAAAATGGTAACACTTTTTTTTTCATTACATCTAAATGTCTTTTAAAGGTATGTTTCTTTGCGAACCATACACAAATATTGGCTATATAGCTATCCATCATGTCGCCATTCACAAGGAAACTATTTTCTAACTTTTTATGCAATCAAATACATCTTCAGGCCCCTAAGCCACAGGCATAATTCAACATTTTCAATCTCATTGTAAATTAATTTATTTTAAAATGTTTCGAGTCCCATAACTTCTGGATTTTCTGCTATACGTATACACGCCAGCCATCCTGTACACTCCTTAGCCAAACTAAAAAATTCGGCTGAGTGCATGCCGGCTAGGTTGACAACTTAGACTATAAAACTTATATTCAAAAATATTGATTTTTTTAATAAAAATTGCGTAGCGGAACCCGAAATTTTTATTTCGTTGGAATTATAAAAAAATGATCGATTGTTAATAAAATTTGAAAAAATTTAATACTTTTTTTTGTAGTCACTAAATTTTTATGTGTCAAATATTCATTTTCATTGTGACGAAATTCCAGGCGAATCCGTCACCTGTACTCCGTAGGGTAACTACCTAGGTTAAGGGCGAGAGAGAACCGCGAAAATTCAATAAAAATTACCTGCTATCTTGGTTAGATCCGCATCTAAAAGTTACCTGCTACGAGGGTACGGGATTGCTCGGTTGCTCAGTGTGCGGGTCGTGGAGAGAGGGGTGGATTCGTGGACGAAGGTAATGGTTTTGGCCGTGTTTTCGGATATCGATAAAATTGGGTTAGGGTTTTGAGTATTCGCTGAGGCCGTAGAGGAAAAATCATTACATCATTTATGAACCTACTTTATTGACCTGAACGAATGATCATTGCATGGTCAGGTGAACGAAGCAGTATCATAGATGTAAAATAATATTTTAATGAGAACACTACGTTACGCTATCAAATACGTAGAGTTGCAGTACCGTGGCAGCGACTTTTACTAGATTTAGGTAATCTGTTTCGTAATTATCCACTGCGGGAACGGTGTAATTTCGAAATTTTCGAGAGAACTAACGCTTTTTGAATAATAATGATTAAAAATAATTTAGATTGTCAGTGCATGCGCCGCATGTGCATTCATTCGATATGTTTGACATTTTTCTGCTCCCCTCGTCTCGAGGAAAAACTTTTCCAATAAATTGCAGCCTCCAGCAGGTTCCACCGTCATTCTGAAATTTTCATGATTTTCTAAATTTTTGCCATTGTCTGAATTTTTTTTATTCTCTTTAAACTCTTCAAACTTGTAGAAAAATAGTAAAAAGTCTTTTGCCTACAACGCTTTTGAAATAAATAAAAACTGCACATTTTCACGTTTTTCTTACAAGAATAATTATAGGCATTGTGAACAAAAAACGAGATCAGTTTTCATTTTTTTAAAAATTGGTTGCGGGAAAAACGTCGAGAGTTTTGTTTTCAATTTGAAAAGAATTGAGAGTACAATCATCTCAAATGTCCTCAGAGTAATAGGAAATCTGTACACACCCAAATTAATGAAAAATAAAAAGATTAAGCAATAAAAAATTGAACTGAGTAAGGAGAAAAAAAGAAAAACAAACTTCTACAATTTTGAAGTGTTTTTAATTGTTGGAATTTTTCAAACCATTTTTAGAATGAGAAAAAAAGTAAAATTGAAAAAACACGTTTTTTAATTATTAAAAATCAAGAGATGAAGATAAAGATCTGAAACTTTCCACAGAATAATTATTTGGGTCATAAATATGTTAAAAAATTTGCGCTTTGAAATTCTTTGCAGGGTGATTCACGATACCTATTTGGCTAGAGTCTTTGGAACTTCCCTTGGTTTCCGCAACGATGCCCAAAATTTCGCGATTTTTGGCATTTTCATAATTTTGCTACGACCTTATGGTGTCGAATTGGTTATCTCACGGGTCTCACCCTTACAGTCACTCGAGATATTTCGAGATGAATTTCCTTGCCCATTTTTATATCAGGAACAAAATGAATACAGTATCTTACGAAGATGATGAAGATATTGAAAAACAGGATCCTAATCGGTTACTTGCTACTTTTTTGACGCCTCAAGCAGAACCATAAAATCACGTTGAAGGGAAATTAAGGTTGTTGTATCGTGATAGTCTCTGCAAAATGTTGATCCGCTGTGAAACGGGCCAGTTTAGAACACAATCTTTTCACGGTATATAGTCGCACTTGATTCAGTGCATTGTGCATCGATAGCTAAAGTATAACTATATATTTTTCATATTAACTATTTTCAATTATATAAATTTGTGGATTTTCGATAATTATATCGCGTAAACCGAATGTTTAATCGATTTGATTTTTTTTCTGTATTCCCTCCCACGATATATATTCCATGTTTTTTTTTATTTCGAAAACTGTTGAGCCGCTGATATTTTTAAAATTCGAATTGCTGAAATTCTATTTAAACACGTGTTAAATCACTTGAGTTTCAAACCGAGGACTGATTTTAAAGCTAATTTTTTTTAACTATTCACCATAAAATTGTGAATGTGTATATTAGGGGTAAATCAATCACAATCAATCTATTATTAGTTAAAAGGACTTTTTAAAAATTTCGATTCTTTTTCCCGATATTCATTAGTAAAATAATCGATTTAAAAAATGTTGGATTTCGGGGTTTTCCCCCGAGTTTAAAATTCTCTCCTCTAGAGTTTTTATATTTCCGGATTTAGGAAATATTTATTTCTCTGTTGCTGTGGGACCTTTCCCTTATGTTCTGACAAAAGGGAAAGTCCCGGAGGGACTTTCTCATTGCGGGTTTTTCCCGAAATACATCTGGTGACCAGAGAGGGTCAAGAGGAAAATCCAAGGGTTGAGGGTGGAAGGAGAAATTATATTGCCCTCTGGAGCTTAATGTGGGCCTTACTAGTAATATTTAGTTAGTTCGTTGTAAGTCTTCGTTCAGCAAAGTACCTCTGAGATGGCTATAGCAAGGATGGGCAACCTCTGTTCTCAGAGCAAGTCGTGCTCCCGACCTCTATGTATTTGAGAAAGAAAAAATGAGTTTCATTAGAGAAGTAAGTTCAGGCAGATTAATTTGAGAAGTCCAGTTTAAAGTTAGGCTTATTTCAGGATTAGTATTTGTATTCAACCTCCCCCCACCCCTCCTCGCCGCTCCTGAGAAAATCGTCCCTTGACCCCCTCATCCCTCATCCCCCGAGTAACCATGGCCCCCATTCTTCGAAATGATCGCCCCGTCAGCATAAATGCAGACCCCCCTAGAACCCCTACCGAACCCGCAATAATGAATTATAGTGACGATATGAACACAAAATTTAAGACGTTGAGTGGTCATGGGTAAAGAGCGGCATTGTATGCCCTAGAAATAAATTTATTCAGAAGCCCAGAGGTACTGGTTGATAGATTTGTCAGATTCAAAGTTAGAGTAAAATACGGAGCTGAAGTAGCTCCATGGGACAGTACAGTTGACTCATCTCTCATCCCCCTTTCGATGTTTAATTTTTCACCCCAATTGTGGGAAAATTCACCAAATAAAGTTAATGGTTTAGTTTCAAATTTAACGACCCCTGCCCCTCAATTAGAAAAAATATTAACTACCCCAATCAGTTTGCATTGCCCTGATCTGATCGAGTTGCCCACCCTAACAGTTGTCCACTCAACCCGTCCCCCTCACCGGCACCACCAGAACCCGCTACCAGCCCATCCTCAGATCCCTCCCGAACCTACCCAGACCCCTCCCGAACCAACCCAGACTCCCGACCCTCCTGTACAAAAATATCCCCAAATTCCCCCGGGACCGGCATCGACCATTAATCCCGCATTCCCAAGCAATTTCCAGATCCCTCCAGAACCCATCCAGACCCCCCACCCCCCTTTACAAAAATATCCCCAAATTCCCCCGGGACCGGCATCGACCGTCAATCCCACATTACCCAACGATCCCCAGACCTCTCCCAAACTGCCCCAGACGCCCCACCGCCCAGTAAAATACAACCAAACTCCCCTGGAACCCCAACCACCACCTACCCCCACGACCCCTGAAAACCTCGGTTGTATAAAAAATGAGTTGATAGAAAATGAAAAAATTAAAGATAATAGAGTAGAAATGAAAAATGGAAAAATTGTCGGAAGTAGGTTAACAGAAACACAGGATAAAATTATAAAGAATAGGGTAATAGGAGAAAACAGAGAAACTGAAGAAAGTAGGTTAATAGGAGGACAGGAAGATAAGGTTAAAAATAGATGTTTGGTGAGGTACTGTTGAGTAGGGTGGATCGGGAGAAGGTCAGGAAAATGTGGTGATTGTGTAAAAATGCTATAACTCGCGAA